TTTTGTCTCTTCTCTCCCTTTAAAATTCAGTATAACATAGTTAGATGCAGATGGTAATGGCCAGTGCAGCAAGAGTTATCTGCTCCTTATCATTCACAGAAACACTCGGTGCAGCATCCCTCTCCAATAGTTTTAGGTTTCAACCTGCACACAACACCTTCAAAGAAGTGGGTTCGGACTGTTTGAACAGATATATGTGTCAGCTTGACGTGGAAGAAGAACCTGATAGTGTTCAACATTTATCTGTTGGTGAAACCTTCACAGGTGCTGACATACCAAGGGACACTTTAACAGGTGGACATGCTGCACAAACACTCAGGGCAAGTGGGAATGAGTGAAAACCCTACAGCAAATCATGTCAGTTAACTCTATCATGGCTGGGTAAGTGTGAATTAGTGTAAAACCCTGCACAACTCTTTCAACTTTACAATTAACCCTTTAGCTGGGTAGTGATTCGATATCTTATATATGATCAAGTCAATCTAAAACCTTCTCTTTTAAATATTACATTAAACGCATACAATCATACAAATAAAAGTGCAATCTGTTTTTCATGAAACCATGACGTAGATTTTTGCTACACTGACATTATAAAACGTAAGACCCTATGAAAAACTGTATGAAATTATGTCCTACTTCCACTGATGAACAATGACTGCTGAGTAATTTTCTAACCTCAGTAAGGGAGCAAATCACCTTTCCTCCAAAGGCCAAGGGACTACTCTTGTAGGTTGGTTTGTTGCTTAATGCCGTAATCAGAAATATACCAGTGATATGGATACCAACTACTCTTTGTAAGGGTCTGTAAATAATCGAGTGTGGACCAGACAATCCAGTGATCAACAGCATGAGCATCGTTCTACGAAATTGGGATACGATGACATGTGTGTCAGCAAGCCTGACCACCCAATACCAACTACTCTTGTAAGGTGTATCCATCATGAATAAGGAATCATTTGGATTCAGTAACAATGACATGACATGTGTGTCAGCGAGCCTGACCACCCGATACCAACTACTCTTGTAAGGTGTATCTATCATGAATAAGGAATCATTTGGATTCAGTAGCAATGACCAATTTTGAAAATATCAGATTCAAACAGAAAACACAAAATGTGTTGCCAATGGCTGATTAAGTATAATACCGTTTTAGTATGTGACCTGGGTTGAATGCAAAGATCAATACAGTGGGTATTCATTTTGATAATAATGGAGAGGAAACAAATGTTTTTAAGGGGTGGACATTGTTCGAACCCCACTATTCCACCTGCATCAAGGCAGCAAGTAACCAACAGAGAACATGAAGGTCATCATCACGCAAAGCTGGTACGATGTTACAGTATCAACCAAGTCCGATCATCTGATACTCTTAAACAAGGATGTCTTTAAGGAGACATAAGGTTGTATTTGTTTGTTTAATACTGCAACCCACAATATTCCAGAAATATGATAGCGCTCTGTAAATAATCAAATCTGGACCATATACCAGTCATTGATATCAATGCAATTTGATACAATTAGTCAAGTCAGACTAGCCTGATGTTCCAAGTGGCTAAGTCACCTTCACACTAACCATAGGTTGCTAGGGACCTTCAGTCTTACCTGGAATCCCCATTTGGTTGTCAAGAGATTGGAAAGCAGATCCATGGATACAATCAAAAAAGACTTTGGACAGCAAAGAAGAAGACACAAGATGTTGTGACGTGGAAGGACAGGGACATTAGGACTAGCAGAATGCTACATAGACTCATTGTTGATTAAGACAGCTGACAAGAAACAGAGATCAATGGGAGTGAAATGAATGGAAGCAACGTAACACTGACATAGTCAGCAACAATAGGAAGCTTACAGAACATGACAACCATGAAAGTTATTGTCAAAAACCATAAAGATATATAAACATTTGTAGAACATGAAAAGGGCAAAAGTTCACATTTTCTTTTTAGATTGTGTTTCATGGAGATAATGAATTGATTGTATCAGAACACTGACTATATGGTGTTATAAAAAACAATATATCATGCAATGTATGTAACCCGATGTGATACATTAGTGTACAATATATAACATATCCATAGTGTGATTGTTCACCATACTAGATATCTACAGATAGATTATTCAACATATTACATATCTATAGATAGATTGTTCAACATACTACATATCTATAGATAGATTGTTCAGCATACTAAGTATCTATAGATTGTTCAACATACTACATACCCAAAGCATGATTGTACATTATATTACATAGCACTAATAACCAGTGTTCACGAAAAGTGTCTGATCATCTGACAAATCCGGCAGATTTGCCAACGGTCCAATAGAAGTCTACAACCCACCAGCCCCAGTGTCTGACTGTATATATCACAATACTTTGACTTAAGTTGTTATATCTGACATGTGACACTTGTTTGCTGTTCATATATCTTGTATTTGTTAATAATTTCAGTGCCAGTTATAAGAAATGTTAAATCTGAAATGTATGTTTAATTTCATTCCATGGGTCCTGTGAATTTTCAATGGGTCAGACAGACATCTGAAACTTGCAGGACCCAATGTCCTGTTACCTTGAAACACCATTCGTGAACACTGCATAACTGATAAGAAAGTTTGACAATAATTCTACACTTTTTCATCGGTACTACACAACTACGGTGAGATGTGTTAATACAGGTATAACACACTGTAACCTACCATTCATGAGCTGCAAACAATAGTTTCACTATGAGTTTATCAATCAAAACAATTACTACAAACACTGAACCAAACATTTCGGGTATAACTCACTAACTACCATACTTTAGCTGCCAGGTTTACACATCCACCTTATGCTTTTCAACAGGAACAGAATGATAAATAAGGATCACTGATCCCAAAACTCTCTGTGACATTTATACAATAAACAGGAAAATGTAATGACATACATATACTTGGGATAGAAATTTAGGATACCAAAGACTTAACACTGGAATGAATAAAGGATAGCTTAGTAATTGACATACACAGATCCAGAAATGTTGATTATCGAAAGTTATACTGAGGGAAACAAATAAGGGATCACATGAAAGCTCCTGTGTTCCTCTATTTATTCAGGTTTCTCCACAAGTGTTGTATCGCTTCGCTTGTGAAGAACACTGGAAACAAACCAAGGAACACTTGAGCTTTCATGTGATACCTTATTTTTTTCCCTCAGTATATATACCCTTACCATATTTAGTTGATGAGAAAGGAAAGGTCAAAGCCAGGAAAGGTCGAAAGGGGAAGGGGAAATAGTCCAAATGAGATAGATTGGTGAAATGGGGTAGTGTGTGGTATTTCCTTTTCCTGTCACTGACAGATACAATACCAAGAAGACACACTGGGTTTGTTTAACTTCTGTTGAATTTTGTAGCTAACATATATACATGGAGCCATGATCCTCTGTAGCTCACCTGCATGTGCTTAAATATGAACTGACATTTTCAGTTTGGCTGCCACCTTTAGAATCATATCAAAATTCCATCAAACACTGATTAGGCTGGTACCAAATACAAAAGGTTTCCACCTCTATAAACAATGTGGCAGTACTAGACTTGTGGAGATCTCTGTAGGGTAATAAAATCAAAAGAAATCAATATGTTACAAAAACTTGATTGATTTGTCTAAGGAATTATGACAGTACTTGGTTCTGATTGGCCAATGAGAAGTTTCAAATCACAAATACCACATCTGATTGGAGCAGTTTATTTGAGAGCTACATCACTGTGGCCAGTAATTTTCATTGAAAAGTACTTTCTCAGTCAATGTTAGTGCTTTAAAGAAATATCATTTTACAAAGTGCATTTGGTTTCAAATAAGCATAGTAAATCTGGAGGTAAAATATTTCCCCTTTGAGAACTCAGAACACTTATATCATACATCATGTCTGTCACTCATATATTTCAGTTTTAGTGTTATTTTATAAAGCAATCCAACCATTAAAATTCTATACAGTGGACTGACCTGAAGATTAAAAAGCATGTTTTTGAATCTCAGCAGAGCAAAAAATTCTTCAAACCAGTATGTAGGAATGCAAATGAAACACAACGCTGTTGCAAATTTATATTGTAAGACAATTTCACAATCAGTATAAAGAATGAACATTATGAAGACCCAACACTCAGTGTTGGACAATGATATGTGTAATACATTTACAGTCCTGCATTGAAAGAAATACTTGTCTTAACTATAACACAAAACAAATCTCAAATGGTATATGTACATAACACACAACTTCAGGAAAAAAAGATAAATAAATAATAACATGGATTTCTTTTCACCAAACATTCATGTACATGTATCAACAAAATCATTTTCGGCAAAATGCCCATGGATTTATTTTGGGATTTTTCCCGTTTTGCTCATATGAACAGACTCTGTGTAAATACTGATACACACGAGTCGGATGGAACTAAGTCTCGTGTAAACACAATGCATCGTCTCCATACATAACAGGCAGTAATCAATATACCGTGGCAGATAGTGTGTACAAATGCTGCTGTATGGCTACGCTCCTCTTCTCACATTAAACTGGCTAATTAGAACTCCTTCAACAAAGCAACTGCAACACTGGTTGCTAATAATCCCATGATATCACCGAAACATTGCTTTGTGGAGGATGGTTCAGGTGTACAACACCCATATATCACCTACATGTATGGTATCTAGGGATGCCGCGATTCAACAATACTTTTTCTAAGATGATACAATAATCGATACATTCAAAACTGTATCAATATTTAGTTTTGAAAGTATCGGTTTAAATATGTTTATGTATCGTTTACATTTTGCAATTGTATCATGTTTTTTGATGTTATGAGAGTTATAAATGATTATTTTTCATGCACAAAGATAGGAAATTAGAACCTTTTAATCTCAGAGAATAAAAGATGTTGATCTTTTCATGGACAATTATAAAATATGAAACATTAATGTTTCAAAATGTAACTAAATTTACGCAATAATGCCGAGAAAATAGGTATCGTGATACATATCGAATCGTGACTAGGGTATCGTGATATGTATTGATTCATGAAACTTATGTATCGTGACATCCCTAATGATATCTGTTCAGTTTCAAAGATCAACAAAATAATGAGATCCCCAAATATCCACACACAATTTCAAATGTGACAATTCACATATAACATGAACATCTCACTAAAAAATACCAATACTCTTTCATATCTGCTGTTGTAAACATTTCAACAGAATACTAATTTTGGATGGATAGACAAAAATATTTAATTACAAAAAGAAGCATGTGAAGGACAGATGCAATAGTTAGCCTGCATAACATGAGTATATTAGTAAACAAAAAAGCAGAGATTCAAAAATTCTAAAGAAATCAGTTTTTCGGTTTCCAACTGATACAGTTGTTTTAATCCAGTTCCTGACTTTATCTACAATGAGTACAGGATTCCGCCCTACAGAGCTTGCACATATATATACATAATATCAAAGGTTCCTCACAACTCACAATACACAACTCGGATTCAGTGAAACATGTCACATTCTAAACAGATGTCTATGTGGAATAGTGTCAAAATTCTACCCTGCCATGATCTATGGTATCTTGAAGAAATGTGGAACATTTGTTATATCTTTAACATTGATGGTGATGGTTTGTCCACCCTCAATAGGCTTATTCCCACTGCTGCGCCATTTTCCCTTCGGGAGGTACACCGAACGAGTTTTCTTGCCTTCACACAACACAGGTGCAACCATCAGAACATCCCCCACCATGAACTGATCATCAATGTTTTGTGCAACAGGATCATTTGGTTCCATCCACCAGACCGGTCGAATAATTGGGTCACCCTTTTGATTTTGGGCAGCAGTCTCTATGTAGGTCAAAATGCTCTGTCGTAGTTTGAGGGCACTTTCCAACAGATCCTCCACATCCTCCTCAGACAGAATTGATAACATTGGGATCCTAATACCTGGGAAAAATGCAGCTAGCTGCAACCATCGAGCAAATAGTTCCTTTGAGAGTTCTAATTCAGCCAATCCATCCAGAAGTATATTTGGGTATCCACCCATTCCATTCTGTAGAGCGAGGGGGATAACTGTATTGAAGCATTTGGCTCCATTGATTTCAAACAACTCTGCATGGATGGATGTGAACACTGACTCAGGGGTGAATCCAGCCACGTAATCCAAAACAACTGATGTATTCATTGCTGAAACAACTTCAGCAAATAGACGAGGATAATCCAAGAATGTGACGTTTTTATCCATATATGTCACAAGTCGTGGGATCTCAATGTGCAGGAGTTTAAAGCCTGCAATGTTGTAGTCCTCCACTAGTTTTTCAAGAAGTCCTTGGAACCACTGAATGGCATCAGGGTTAGTCACATCTAACACTGCACCTTCCTTCCCTCGCCACTTAATCATTTTGGTAACAATATCCATTTCATCACGCAAGAAGTAATCGTTGTCCATACCTTCCATAAAATGTTTAGATCTGTATGTGAAAAGTGTTGACACAGGCATCAAGACCTTACAATCAGTTCCTGCCAGATCGTCCAGAAGTGTCTGTAGCTTCTGAAGCTTCTTGGAGTTGAACTGAAGGTCCCCAGTCTCATTCTCCCAGTCCCAGAAGATTTCAACATAACTGCACTGTGTCTTAGAAGCCACAAGCTGGTCTCTCATCTCTGGAATGTCATCCTCTGACAGAAGTGCACGGACAGGGTTGGGGATAACTTTACCAACCTTTGGTCCTAAGTCATCACCATAATTTTCTCTAATATGCTGCTGAGATTTATGGTATGCATCTTTCATGTCCGTCCCACGACAGATAGTGTACTTCAGAAGGCTCCCTCCCAGACCAACGTCATCAAAAGCAAACTCAGACAGCATGCAGAACTGCTGTTCTTCAGTTGTGTTGACTGATATTAAGAATGGGGTGTTGCTGTCCACAAAAAGAGCAACTCCTTTCGACGATAACCACATTGGAATACGATTTCTCTTTTGACCTACTGGATATTTTGGATAAAATGTGGCATTTTTAATAATTAACTTTGACATTGGCCATATACCATGTTTGTCAGTTATTAATCCATACCATTTAAAGCCAAGCAAATAGTAACAATCTTCAGCTTTGAAATTGTCAGACAAGCCTTTCCACTCTAGGGTATAACAAGGCAGTGTTTCATTATCGTCCTTAGAGAAGTGTAGAGTTGCCATCTTTCGCCACAGCAGACAATGCATGTCGTAATCCAGACGGTGCTCGTCCCAGCAGTAATGATAGGATGTGGCCTTCAGATGCATGCCAAGGTCACCATACATTATTGTGTCCTCATTGTTGTTTTCCAGCTCCAGCGTTCGCATCTTCACTGTGAAGGTGAAGGACTCATCAAGCTTCACAGCTGCAACGTTGTCCTTGTGAAACAACCAGATGGCAAAGACACCAAGTGCAATGATACCAAACATGAAATAAACGGCTACTTTCATAATCCGCCGTTTCCGGCGCTTGCTCTCCTGGGCCTGAACAGCCTGAAACAAAAGAAAGAATTCAAATTACAAGTCACATCAATATGCCAACATGACAAAGTAGATATATGATAAAGTAGTCAGGGACATTGTAGACAGGTCAGTAAAAGAACATGAGCAGGTCAGGAAGGCCAGGAAGGTCAACATTGTACACGTCAGGTAAAAGAAAACATGTAATTGAGTGAAGTGGACAGGTCAGGGACATAGGCCAGGAAGGTCAAGTACATTGTACACGTCAGGTAAAAGAAAACATGTAATTGAGTGAAGTGGACAGGTCAGGAACATGAGCCAGGAAGGTCAAGTACATTGTACTCGTCAGGTAAAAGAAAACATGTAATTGAGTGAAGTGGACAGGTCAGGAACATGAGCCAGGAAGGCCAAGTACATTGTACACGTCAGGTAAAAGAAAACATGTAATTGAGTGTGGACAGGTGGACAGGTCAAGTACATTGTACACGTCATGGACAAAGGCCAGGATTGAGTGGTGGAAGGTCAGGAACATGAGCCAGGAAGGCCAAGTACATTGTACACGTCAGGTAAAAGAAAACATGTAATTGAGTGAAGTGGACAGGTCAGGAACATGAGCCAGGAAGGCCAAGTACATTGTACTCGTCAGGTAAAAGAAAACATGTAATTGAGTGAAGTGGACAGGTCAGGGACATAGGCCAGGAAAGCCAAGTACATTGTACTCGTCAGGTAAAAGAAAACATGTAACTGAGTGAAGTGGACAGGTCAGGGACATAGGCCAGGAAGGTCAAGCCATTGGTCATGTAAAAGAAAACGCGTAATTGAGTGAAGTGGACGGTAAAGTAAAAAAAACATGTAACTGAGTGAAGTGGACAGGTCAGGGACATAGGCCAGGGGTACATAGGCCAGTGGACAGGTCAGGGACATAGGCCAGGTAGGCCAGGTACATTCAGGGAAAAGAAGACAAAATTAATAAAGTAGACCGCAGACAGATCAGAGTCTAGGAGATAGCACACTAAGTATTGTTCAGGGACAAAACCAAAAGGGACAAAGTAGACAAGATCACAAACAATTTAAATGCAAGATAAGTGAGGGACATTGTAGATCAGACAGGGACTTGAAGATAGCCCATACACTGTAGAGATAGGTCAGGTGCAAAGCAGAAAGGTCAGGGGGAAAGTAGATGGGTAAAAAACTTGATAAGTTAGGGACATTGTAGATAGGCTATGGCCATATTAGATAGGTCAGGAACATGGGTGAAGGACACAGGTCAAAGCCCAACCAGATACGTCAAGGACATGGGTGAAGGACATAGGTCAAAGTCCAACCTGATAGGTCAGGGACATGGGTGAAGGACATAGGTCAAAGTCCAACCTGACAGGTCTGGGACATGGGTGAAGGACATAGGTCAAAATCCAACCTGACAGGTCTGGGACATGGGTGAAGGACATGGTCAAAGTGAAGTACATAGGTCAAAGTCCAACCTGACAGGTCAGGGACATGGGTGAAGGACATAGGTCAAAATCCAACCAGATAGGTCAAGGACACAAACATTTCTGATCATTGATATTTGCAACTAAGAACCTTTATCACTCAACTGACTAACTGAGTTTGGTTTTTCGCCGCTTTTAACAATATTCCAGCAACATCATGGCGGGGGACACCAGAAATGGGCTTCACACATTGTACCCATGTGGGGATTCGAACCCGGGTCTTTGGCGAGACGAGCCAACGCTTTAACCACTAGGCTACCCTAGCGCCCCTTTATCACTCAAAGCATTTGAGTCTATTATTACAGTTTCTACTGAATGGACATTAACATAGACAGCATGTCTACAATGTACTCCAAAGACTTTTTGTGTGTATCAGAATAAAGGTTCTGTATGAAAAGACATTCACACAAGAGTTGTAACACTTCTATGTTAAGACATTCACCTGTATTGTGATGCTATGTTAATACATTCACCTGTATTGTGATGCTATGTTAAGACATTCACCTGTCTTGTGATGCTATGTTAAGACATTAACCTGTCTTGTGATGCTATGTTAAGACATTCACCAGTATTGTGACGCTGCTATGTTAAGACATTCACCAGTATTATGACGCTGCTATGTTAAGACATTCACCTGTCTTGTGATGCCATGTTCAGACATTCACCTGTATTGTGATGCTATGTTAAGACATTCACCAGTATTGTGATGCTGTAGTGTTAAGACATTCACCACTATTGTGATGCTGTAGTGTTAAGACATTCACCAGTATTGTGATACTGTAGTGTTAAGACATTCACCAGTATTGTGATGCTGTAGTGTTAAGACATTAAACTGTATTGTGATGCTATGTTAAGACATTCACCAGTATTGTGATACTGTAGTGTTAAGACATTCACCTGTATTGTGATGCTATGCTAAGACATTTGCCAGTGATGAGGCAACATTGAGACATTTATTGGTATTGTTACCCAGATTGTAGTCCAAAATGAGATCGTGAAAATGTTTGCATCAATTACTTAGCCATGTTTGAGATTAGGGTCACACTACTCAAACAAGGCTACTCACTCAATTATTGTTAGGGGCTTGGGTTTTATCACATTAATTTGTTTGACATTGCGTCAGCACTCGCCATCATTTGGTCATTAGGTGATAGTATCCACATTAATTAGGTCACCAGGAGTCAGCACAAGGAGTGGGTATTTCAGAGAATTTTCATATTGTGATATATTGCAATGCGAAAGCATACATTGCGAAACATATTGCAATATATTGCAAGACGTTTTTTGTAACAAATACTACTTATAATTGAGTTAATGCTTGATTTATAAAGTAAATACACAACCAAATGACTATGCTTGATTAAGCTTTAATAAAAACTTTTAATCATGACAAAATAAAAATGTAAATAACATCTGGCACAAATGAAACAAGGAAAAGAACAATTTAACATCCCAACACAGTGGTTACTAGTTTGAACTACTTTCTCCACTCTCAAAAAAAGCCCCGAGATTTCAGACAGCAGCTTGACCTGGTCAGGACATACCAGAGACCACTGGTCATTAATGAGTAAATAGTTAACACATTCAGATCCCAAACATTGCGAAACACTTGAACAACAATTAAGAACACAACATCAAACCGAACATAACAATCCAGTTAAATGTAATTTTTACCACGATGATTCCCACCACCATTACCACAATTGCCACAATCATCAACGTTTCTGAGTGTTACGAAGTTTTCCGAATGCAAGTCAAAATACCGCTTTTCAATCAGCGCATTGCAATATGTATCGTTTTCATGTATGAACCGCTAAACCGGTTATATTGCACAGCCCTAGTCAGCATCCATATCAATTTGGTCGCTAGGGGTGAGCACTCCCATTAATTTGGTCGCTAGGTGAGTGAGCGAGTGAGTTTAGTTTTACGCCACACTCAGCAATATTCCCGCTATATGACTGCGGTCTGTAAGTAATCGAGTCTGGACCAGACAATCAGTCAGCAATGGCATTAGCATCGATCTGTGCAATTGGGAACCGATGACATGTGTCAACCAAGCCAGTGAGCCTGACCACCCGATCCTGTTAGTCGCCTCATACGACAAGCATGGGTTACTGAAGGCCAATTCTAACCTGGACCTTCACACTTCTTGGTCGCTTGGGGTCAGCACTTGCATTAATATGGTGGCTTGGACTCCACAGCTGACAACATTTACTGAAGTTGAAGTATCACTGACTATGACTTAAAGCAACATGCACTCATCTAAACACAGGCAGAGACTCACTTGACAAGGGTGAGATTTAATCTAGTCTTGCAATGACTCATGGACCTGAGACAAGTCAGACTGTGTGTCGTGAACACACGTTCCATTCAATTCTTCTTTATCACTTTCCCATCCTTCAAATTACACTACAATCACTTTCTTTATGTATCAGTATACTGGTGACCAGACTCAGCCAGAAGGTGGAAGACACAAGGCTAATTAAGACTCAGTAACACCTTGCCCCTGTCCATTAGTCATGTCACCTGTGGACACAGCGGGGACAAGACTGTCATGCTAGTCATCCTACAGCAGAATACAGCCATAAACCTACAGCCTCCCGATGCAAGGGTTGACAAATAATGTTCCCAAGATGTAGAGTATATTCCTGTAAAGCTCATGGAATCAATAAAGCCTAAAATACAAGACAATGTTGCTGTTTTCATGTTCAGGGAACAAAGCGACTTTAATTGTGTAACTGATTATGCGCAAGCATGCAGGTTTTATTTGTGTCTCCACTGCTGTTCCCCAGGCACCTGCTGGAGTCACATGTGATGCTATTTCAGCTGATGTGTCTCACAGTCCCTGAATCATATATCTTCCCTTCTGCTCAGCCCTTACAGTAATCCTGTAATGACGTAAATGAGGCAAGTCCAGGTTCTGAATCTGCCATTTCACAGGGCCCCTTTCCAATTACTACATGTCAAAATGATACACATTCAGACTAAGCATTGTCTTCATCTGATGGTGTTCCATCATCTTGCTGACTACAACATGACCAAACTGTTTGTTAATGTTTGTTAATATGATAGAGTGAGTGAGTTTAGTTTTACGCCGCACTCAGCAATATTCCAGCTATATGGCGGCGGTCTGTAAATAATCGAGTCTGGACCAGAGAATCCAGTGATCAACAGCATGAACATCGATCTGCGATTTGAGAACCGATGACATGTGTCAACAAAGTCAGCGAGCATGACCACCCGAACCTGTTAGTCGCCTCTTACGACAAGCATAGCCGCCTTTTATGGCAAGTATGGGTTGCTGAAGACCTATTCTACCCCGGATCTGCATGGGCCCATGGGTTGCTGAAGACCTATTCTACCCCGGATCTTCACGGGTCCATGGGTTGCTGAAGACCTATTCTCCCCCGGATCTTGGGGTCCATGGGTTGCTGAAGACCTATTCTACCCCAGATCTTCACGGGTCCATGGGTTGCTGAAGACCTATTCTACCCCGGATCTTCACGGGTCCATGGGTTGCTGAAGACCTATTCTACCCCGGAT